AATTTGACTTTAAATTTTCTGTTTTTTTATGAAAAAAAAACTGCCAATTTTCTTTTCACTAGAAATTCATTTCGATATTACAGTATCTATGAGTTATGATCAATTCGTTGAAATGGACAATGAGGAAAATATCAATAAATTCAATGACCAACAAATGATGTATAAAAAATTGCCAAAGAATTTAACTAATCCAAACTCAAAAGAGCTAAAAGGAAATTTACAAAATGGTCAAGAGCTAGGACGTATAGTGACATTGAGTGCATCACCTGATATGTTTCAAGAGTACTTAGATAATTTACAAGTGACATATGAAAATTTTGAAAATTATGAAAAGACTGAAACGAAAGAAATTATGAAAGAAATTCACGCTACAAATAAAAAGAAAGTATGTATGATTATCTTTCTTGTTCTCGGCATTTGTTTTCCTCCATTTTTAGTCTTTAGCTTGGTTTATATGAGAAAGTATAGAACATCTCAAAAACTGTCATCAATTTATCACATTACATTATTTATTGTATTTGTAGATATTATGCTTTTATTGACAGTTGTAATGGCTGCAATTTTTTATGGTATAAAAGCGCTCTAGTATTACTTAATAAACATAACAAAAGTAAATTGATAAGGTTTGTGTCAGTTTTCATTCAATTAAATAGGTTCTTCAAACTGCCACGTTTTGTTATTCAAACAACTTAATTTCCATCATCACCATCTTCAGCAGCCTGTGGAATAACATCCGCTTCATCTTTCTTGTGCCTAATTCTATAGATAGTCTTACCAATAATTTCTCCAATAGAAATCAAAAGGAATAATGCACAAATACCTAACATAATATATCCAACAACATATTCAGCAGTATGGTTTTTATCCTCAGAACTATCAGAAAAGTTTAAATTAAAATAGGTGTATAGCATTGAGAATATAACAAGAGTTTATAGATTTAAGTCATAAGAATTGTACGGAAGCTCTAATTCCTTCATGTTTAGAGATATAAAAGTTTTTCTTGTTCACAATGTTACAGAATTTTATTATTGTTATTTTTTGAAGGAAAAGAAAGAGATTTTTAGCTTTTCTTAAAGTTTAATTAAAATGACTAAGTTAAGAATCACACCAAAGACTTAAAAACGTTATATAACACAAAAGTTGTAGATATAATTGAAAGAATAGAACAAATGACAAAGACAATCACAACGATGGTTGTTGTAGAATACCATGAATAAAATCTATTCTTTAATGCTTCTATACCATTTCTTGCAACTGATATTCTACGAGAAGCTAATACAAATGCACAAGGAAAAACATAACTGAGAATAAAAGCGACTATACCTGTTAAACTTGCTATTGTTTTAACGCTCCCAACAAGACAAGCTAAAGCAAATGGTGGAAAGACAGCACAAGATATAATTGCATATTTTCTCCATTTACCACCATATGATTTAGGAAGAGTAGAAGAAATGTTTGTTGCAAGGGTATAACAAACAAGAGGATATTCATTGAGGATATTAACAATTGGGAATATAAGAATAGCATATCGAATAATATAACCAATGACTGTTGGATTTCCAATACCAAACCCACCATTTCTACCAGTATAATACTCATAATTAATTGTTACTGGATTTGTTGAAGATGCAGTAAATACTGAAGCACATAAAGCACCAACCAAAATATAAATTATCCCTGAAATTAATGACCCAATAATTGTAACTAAACCAACTTGTTTTTTATTTCTAACTGGTTGTAACGCATCAGGTAAACATGATTGAAGACTGAATGCAACAGAGATATGAGTAAATAAAATACCAAAATTTCCCCATTTCCATTCATTTGTCCATGCTGTATCTATTTTATGATTACCAAGTTGTACTGGACCATGGAA